TTTATGGATATTTTTGATTGTTTTGCCTCAACAATTTTTTGTTCACTGCTTTTGATTAGAGAATTAGCATGAACTGTGTTGGTTTTCAGAATTCATCATTATTTGTGGTCTAATAGGTGGATTTTGAAATGTACTTGTAAATAGTTTATTCCGTTTTTACCGTGGCATAGACCTTTCAGTCAATCTCAGTTTATTTAATCATTTAATTATGCAATTCAGTGTGTATACTGCTATTTTTACCCTGCTAGTTAATCTATCATAGTCTGACACAGGTAAGTTAAAGTTTCTTGATACTGTTTCTCATTAAATTTCCTGAAATTACTTTTTCAATAATATGATGTTTAATCTCATTGTAGAATTTAACTGTTTTGATTGCAGAGTGCCCATTAACACATGGGGAAACAGAAGCTGAACTCTAGGCAGTAATTTGACCGTGTTTTCACAGTGAGTGTGAGATCTGGAGTCACGCTCACACTCAAGTCTGAGACTTGAACATTACTAGGCACAGAGAGAGGAACATACAAGAAAAGAAGAAGATGGCTGAAATAACATTCATCATTATTTTCTAACTGGCTAAAATGATTCCAAAGACAGCATGATGGAGCTTTAGGTGTGCTTTAGGTTTCCAATATGAACACCCAAAAGCCTCTTGGATTTATTTGACACCTTCACTGCTGAGTAGCAGATGCTCCCTTTCCATGGATCTTTACTGGGACATTAGCAATACGTATGTCGCCTCCCACACAGAAGCTCCAGGCAAGAGTCCTTCCATTGTTAACAGTCCCTGTTATTTCTGTGTAGAAAATATAATTATTAGTCTCTGAGTTATCTTTGTGTGTTTTTTGATACAGAAGTAGATCAAGCCTCAGGAGTCTATGCTTTATTCATTTAGAAGAAAAAGTTTCATGTCTAATCTTGAAGCCTGGCTTAAAAATTCGTTTATAATGTTGTAGTCCCAATATTGTCATCTTTAAATGTTTCTATGTTAACAAATACACCTACTTCACTTTATTCATTATGTAAATTCATTCAAATAAAATGTAAATTGTGTGATAATTGTGTGCCAAACATCCTATTTTCATACAGATAAGAACTGATGCAATTTTTTTCACATAATGGTTTATGCATATTTTACATGAACTCCAAACAGCTTGGAATATTACTGTTAACCCCTTGACTATTTTAATATCAAAACTAAAATAAACTTGCCTAAAATCCATCTAGAAAGGACTACCTGATCTCTTAAAGTGGTATAGTATTTTCAAACATCTTTAGTCATATCACCATTCTTCTTGTCAGCTGTACCAAAAAAAAAAAAAAAAAAACACTAAAAGCTTAATTTAACAAGATTGTTTAGTTCCTTTCAAAACACCAAAGCTTCAATATCAGAAACAGAAGTTCTGACATGGAATGATATTTTCAAACATCTTTAGTCATATCACCATTCTTCTTGTCAGCTGTACCAAAAAAAAAAAAAAAAAAGACACTAAAAGCTTAATTTAACAAGATTGTTTAGTTCCTTTCAAAACACCAAAGCTTCAATATCAGAAACAGAAGTTCTGACATGGAATGATAAAAAACGTATTCACTATTCACCACTGAGAGTGTATTTTCTAGAAAAGCAGCTGAAATAGCCACTTTCCTCAAAGCATAGCTCTATACTTCCAACTATCCCTGAAGGCGTTAGAAGCAGAAGTCAAACAAGTTGCTTTATACAGGCCTTAGTGAAAATGGAGAAGGTCTCTCATATTCTTCGTTTTCATCTGCCAAAGAATCTTTCAGAGACTGTAAAAAGCACCTTGCAAAATAAGGTTCTTTGGTAACTTCAGAAACTCAACCTAAAGATTTTTTTTTTATTAAAAATACATCTATGATTCTGAGAGAAAGCAACAATATTTTTAAATTCTCCTCTCTTTCTTACTATCTCAGCAATACATAAAAACAAGACAAGAAACAATGATCTTGGATGTGTTTAGGTTAAGCTTCTGATATTAAGTATAGGTGTGTGTATACAGTGCTTTCAACAGATACTATTGAAGATACATATCACAAAATAATACTTTTCATCCTTCAGAACTATGTAAAATATAGACTGCAATATTAAAATTAACATAAAAGCAAACCACAAATAATAGAATATCAAAACAATTTGGTCCAGTTAAGTACAAGAAAATCTAAAGACGTTCTAAAGTTATACACAGTTACATCAGTAAACTGATTAGTGTGGTAAATGACATTCAACATTAGAGTGAATTAAAAATGGAACTGGTCATTTAGGAAGAAATACATTATTAATTGAAAATGAATATACTTAGTCAATGAGTAAACTCACTACTCAAGCCTGAAAGCTTTGATAAAGACAGACATGTCACCAAAGTAATTAAAGAAAGAGGGAGATGTACCCAGTGCCTACTAGAACTAACCTAGTAGGTGGTGTGACCTCCACCCTCCAATAACTGCCTTCCCATAAAAGTTAACTCCATCAAGATATTTGTTTGAATACAAAGTAGTATTCAATAAGACAAAATTTATCTGCTTTTATTTTCACAGGTAAAAGAGAATTTATGTATTTGAAGGACTACATGGCTTGAAGTTCTACATAAAAATACTATAACAGGTCCTCCCTGGTGGCGCAGCAGGTCAAAGCACAGCATTAAGAAGCATGAGTTCAATCCCCACACCCAAGGTGACCCCCATGGTGCGGCAGACCTCTCTGACCTGCCTGCTGCTTCCCTCAGCAGTTCACTTCATCAGTCAGTCTGTTCTGCTCCCCACTATGTCTCTGGTGAATCCTCCCACCACCCCTGCACCTCTGGCTTGTACTCCAGTTCTGTACGCATAAATAAATAAATCTTAAAAAAAAAAAAAAACACAAACATCCAGTTGTCTTTTTCAATTCTGGAGAGACACTAACTACAGGTACTCATTGCTTGTTATTTTTATGGAGCGATGTACTAATAAAACTTTTGACAACTCTTCATTTATGTATACGAATCCTACTCTGTTGTAACCAGATCTAGGGCAGGAAGTGTCAGGGCTCATCACCAAGGTAACTCCCTCAGCAGTCCTACCTAGGAGGTTCAGTGTCTTGTGCCTCGTCATTCTCTAAAATGATCCATGCTTCTCTACCACATGTGTTCAGTATTTTGTTTTTTCTCTAAGCTTTATAGAATACTTTCCTTTAAACTCTATTTTTATAGTCATTGGTAAAGATTACTTGTAGAGAAAATCATGTCAATATATCTATCCTCAGTATTGTTCATAATAAGATACTAAAATAAGAACAACAAGCCCCCATTTACACTATATTGGAGGAAAAAAATTTCAGAGAAGCTGGTGGGGCAATGTGAAGTGAGCCCATTATGAGAGTTCACAAAGTTTTTCAGAATTCATGCAGAAAAAGGCAAATGAGGCACACAAGGAACAATGTGGGAGGTGTGTCAGCTATGAAAGTGCAAGAGACCTTGATCGAGCAGTTCAGTTATCTTCAAAAGCTGTCTAGAGTGATATTGGTTATGTCAGCCCCTATGCCATAGAAGGGTGAAGGCCAGCACATTCTAAGGACAGACCAACTGTATGATCACTGTCTTGCTAACTTTGAGAATAATGATTCAAGTCAGAAGGAGGCACTAATATAGCTCAATGATCCACCGAAAGAAGGCAGAACAAGGTAAATTCTCTGAGGGCTGTAAGAGAAGCCTTCTTTGTTATCCAGGATGGTAGCTGCTAGCCACGTGCAGCAACTGAGTAATTTGGAATATGGCTGGTATGACTGAGGAAGGAAAGTCTGACTAAAGATACATCTGACTAATGACTCATATTAACATTGTAGCTTTAGATAAACAAAACAAAACAAAACAAATAAAAACAAACCTGAGGAAAATTATTCATAATCACATCCTTCTAGAAAGAGATCCCATCAAATTCACAGGGTCCTCCCCTAATACAGACCACCCTCAATGATGTTGCTGTGCCTCTCTTTCCAGCCCTCCTTCTCTGAGACAACGCTATACTACATCCACAGACCCACCTCATAATCCACAAGGCCCATAATCCACCTGTGCACAATAACTTCAGTGTCTTCACTGTAGTTTACTTAATTTTTATGGATACAATATTATTATCTTATTTAAATGCCACTATTTACATATACAACATGTTCACACAGACTACCATGTTTTGACTCATTAACAACAATTTGGAGCCCTGTTTTCCTGAAGTACAACCATCTGTAAAACAGGATTTCTCCTTTGATCTTTTTTATTCGAGCAAACATTCTCTAAGTTCACATATTGTTTGACTTATTCTTTTCTATGTACACTTACCTATTATGTCTGTTTTATATATTTGGTATCTGGACAAATGTGATATCAGTTCTGTTCAGCTTGAGTTTCCATATTTGGTAACTAGACCACCAACATGAATAATTAATCTACATTTTACCAACTGAATGGGACAGAAAAAGCAGTCAGGACTTAACACATCTGTGATTTTCTCTTATAAGTGCTATCTTTTACATAATATTATGAAATATTTAAAACAAATATATCACTATTTCCTATTCTATCCCAGAATGAGTCTATCTCCAGATGAATAAGAAAGAAAAAAAAGAAATAGGGGGAAGGGGGAAACAAGAGAAGGGAATGAAGAGGTTCTGGAATTTCTCCAGAAGAAAGCAAAGTTCAGCAGTTGCATGGAGAAAATTCAGGACTAGGAGGGGACAGAGATAGCTGGGGAGCATGCCAAGTGACTCCTCACATGAAAACTGGAGTGTGCAGAGACTCTGGGAGTGATGTATGTCTGGGCTAGGTCTTGGTGTGGGGAAGGCTCTCGGTGGTGGGCATGTAACAAGAAATATCTGGCAAAGGCCTTATGGACATAGAAAAGGGTAAGATCCAGAGGTGTCAAGGTAATCAGTTATGATGCCACCTGTGTTGCTGACCTACATGATCAGTTCATATACCCCTCACATCATTTAGATAAGAAAAAAAAAATTTTACCTGTGGTGTCCTGAGTACCGAGGACCACGGATATGGCCTATTCCTCTGCACCCTGGAGTAGGACAAACAGCTTGCCCTGGAAGGATTTTCACATCATTTGCTCCTTCAGGAAGTAAAAGAACATATCTTGAAAACACCCTCAGTAAAGAAAAACTGGAAAAACTAAAATATGTAAGTGAGATCCATTGAGTTTTAAATTAAAAATGCACTACCAGTGAAAAATACTTACTGAGCACTTGTGATGTATATACAATGACTTAGCAGAAAATATCAGAGCGATAATAGATAACACTAACAGCAACTAACACTGGAGACCAGGAATAACAGAGGCATAAAAAAAGATATGAGTACGTTCACTTACACCTTTCAGACAATAATATTGGCAAAGACAATGCAGCTATGAACTGAGAAAATAAGGTGAGGTATAGTTTCAGGTTTCCCATGAAATCCACATCAACCACAAGCACTGGACAGAAACTGAGCTAGCAAATTCAGCCTGCAGCGAGAGCAAGCTTGCCCTTCTTGGGATCACGCAAGGAGCTGTCAAAGCTATCGAAGAAAGAACTGCCCGACCCAAAGCCTGGCTCAGCCAGTGTACCATGTCTTATCAACTGCAGAACAGATGGATTCATCTCTACAAAAGATTCATCTCTACAGATTATCAGCATTAAACACCCCTTGCTCTGTGATGCTCTATAGTGTTGGGTCTTACTGCCCAGATGAGCCCGTACTTTCTGTCTCCCTCCTCAGCTCTCAGACTTCCATTTTGTATCCCAGATCCCAACCTCCTTGTCCTGTCTGTTTTCTCTCCTCCCTAGCTATGATATAATCCAGTGGCTGCCTGAGTACTGTATACTGGAGTTTTCTTCAGGAGAAAAAGTTCACTTTCTCACACCCCATGTGCTGAGCTCAGGATTGCTAAAGAACCCAGTGCCCTTTAATTCCCTTGCTTTCCCTTTTCTAGTCTATATTTCTTATCATTTTACGACTTCTGTTCTCTGGAGGCTGACAACACAGAGTCCCATCACCACTGGCCTTCTCACTGCTTTCAGTTATGTGTCTGTCACCCCACTTCACTCAGCGAAGACATCAATGTCCAGAGTGACCTTTGCAAAATGCAAATCTAACCATGTCCATTCCCTATTAGCACTTTTCAATGCTTTCTCATCACTGTTGGGATTAAGTCCCAAAGTCCTAGACTGCACCATGTGATCTGATTCTTATCAGCCCTTCAGGGATATTTTACTAGATTTTCCCCTTATTCAATTCTGCATCCATGTGGTTTTTCCTACTTCTTGAACCTGACAGGTTCTTTTGGGGTATTTGCATATTTAGGTAAGTTTCTTATCTGGGTAAATCCTATTTGTCTTTCAGATCACAGCTTGTATTTTATTTCCTCAGGCTAACTTGCAAATGTCTGTTGGTTCTCATTTTACATAACATCTACCTTGACTACAAATGAAATGATTATTTGTTCAATGCCTATTTCGCTTATTAATCTATAAGCCACAAGTCTGGGTATTTCAGAAAGCCTGAGTGTCATTACTACCTCATCTGACATACAGTTGTTCAGGAAGTGCTTACTGAATGAACAGAGGAGTGTTCCATCTTTCTTCCTTCATAATGTTTAAGTGTAGAAACAAGCTTTACAAATAAATCAGAAATTTGAATCGCAGTTTTGTTATCTTGCATGGAAATACTGACTGAGGTTTACTAATGTGTGGTAATGTTAGAAAAAATAACTCAAATATCAACACATTTTCATTAAATTTAACGAATTTAAGTATCTAAGACAAAGTCTTACATGTCTTAGGTAAGGACATTGCAAACCATATTGGAAGATGGATAGAAATAAATGCCTTATTCAAAGGTAACTATTTTATTTTATTTTTTTAAGATGATACTTTTTTTTTTTGCATAGAAGAACTGGGTGTAGGCCAGAGGTGGGGTGGGGGGAGGTAAAAGGATTCACCAGAGACAGTGGTGAGCAGAACAGGTAGATTTACTGAAATAGGCAGTTAAGAGGCACAGTGGGCAAGACAGGAGAGGTCAGCCGTGCCATGTGGATCAGCTCCCTGACTAGGGATCAAACTCAGATTGTAGTGGTGATGCTGAGACTTAACCCCTAAACCGCCAGGGAGGCCATAAAAGGTATGTTTAAAAATGAAAATAATCTTTAAACAAATTCAAAGAATTGATGGTTAAAATTATAAACAAATCTTTAATTAAGATACAGGCTACAGGGCTCTCTCTGGTGGTGCAACAGTTTAAAGCACTGTACTCTGAAGCTTTCTGAAGCCACTAGAGCATGAGTTCAATCCCCAGCCAGGCAGCTGACCCACGTGGCCTGGAAGACCTCTCCTGGCCTCCCCACTGCTTCCCTCAGCAGTGTATTTCAGTCAATCTGCCTGTTTCTGTTCCCACTCTGTCTCTGATGAATCCTCTCACACACCGAACCTCTGATCTGTACCCAGTTCTGTAAGCATAAATAATTTTTTTTTTTTAAGATACAGGCTGCATAATGCAGGAAGTAAAAGGATCTATTAGAAAGAAAAATGCAAAAATTATAAATGGACTTTTTTCCACTTGTGCCTCACAATATACTACCAAAGACATAGGTAACAGAATCTGTCAGTGTTTAAGGCTTAAGCAAACCTACAAGTAAATATTTTGTAATAGCCATCCCAGGCATATTTGGTGTGGATAACATTCAGTAAACTCTCAACCAATGCTATTCTGTTATTTTTATGTACTTATCTTAAATGAAAGTTTAAAGTGATCTTTTAAATATTTGCTGATGTATAGTTATATATAGTGCCCTGGTAGGCATATAATTCTCTCCTTGATAAATTTGTGAGGAGTGGTATGACCTCAACTAATAGGAAAAGAGTTATAATATTAAACCCACATCAAGAAGCATAACAAAGGAGTCAAGAAAAACATGAAAATAAAAATGCAGACATTTGAACAATTTTTCAGTAAATTTCATATGATGAAGTTTAATGGGTCAATTCAATGGTAAATTACGATAGTCATCCACTGGGAGAAAGAAACCTAGATAGTCTGTAACAGTTCATATCATTGCCTTGAGGATACAGGGAACTTAAGATAAAATTAATGCTTTTCTACAGAAAATAACTGCATTTTCTTCAAGAATATCTTGCTTGTAACTTATTTTTTTTTAAGATTTATTTATTTGTACATACAGAACTGGGGTACGGCCAGAGGCTGAGGGGTGGCGAGAGGCTACACCAGAGACAGTGGGGAGCAGAACAGGCCGATTGACGAAGTACACTGCTGAGGGGAGCAGTGGGCAGGTCAGGAGAGGTCTGCCGCGTCATGTGGTCACCTCTGGGGCAGACGGGAATCGAACTCATGCGTCAGTGGCTTTAGCTTGTCAGTACAGTGCTTTAACCTGCTGCACCACCAGGGAGGGCCGTAACTTAAATATTTATAGAATTCAGTCTCAAGTAAAAGTTTCTTAGTTTAAAATCAGTATTTCAGAGATCATACCTGATCATATTATCCTTTTATGCCATCTTTTTACTACTCTGCTTGAAATTATTTTCCTACTTTATCTTTTTATCAGCTGTCTCCCTTCACTAGATTTCATCATTAATAAAGTCTTATTTGTTGGCCTTAAACACGACCTTATCTAACTTACCTAACTTGCTTACCAGGATACTGACTAAATGTTTTGTTAGAAAAATCATAAAGACAACAGCTAACACTTTTAAGCATTATTTTAGAATAGCCTGACTCTGATGCTATAAGATAATCATCATTTTATTCTCATTCAGAGCTTAGTTTGCCTATTATCAGTCTTCAGTTTTTTTACTTCTAAGTATTGTGTGGCCACTTTTTATATCAAACATCATGAATAACTCCTAATTTAGTCTAAGTTTTCTATGAAATAAATCTAATGGCAGAGTTCTCTTTGCAAGAATAAACACGAAACAGAAAATATCCTTTAGAGTGGAAATTATCTAAGTAAATTGCAATACTTCCTACAACATGATACTGCAGTTAAATGTCCTTGTAGTTCTCATTCACATAAAATCAGTATCTCTCAAGTAGGAAAAATAAACCTCTCTTTGATTAAGCCATTGTAAACAGATTTTTCTTTTACTTGCAGCTGAAAAATTCCTGCAATAAGTCAGTGATTTTATTTTGTTTTCCCTTTTTGAAATCAAGCAATTGTTCTTAAACAAAGACTAGACTTGTATATATGCATCAGACCTATTGTCATGTAAAGATGATGTAAGATGTCAAAGGCAAGAAATAAAATCAAGAAATAAAAGAGACTGTACTCCTTTCTAGAAAATGAGAATGGGAACTATTCCTTCTTTCAAAATGACCCAAATTGGCAGTCATAACTGATGTGAATGAAAGTGTTTTTTATCCCACCCAGAATGGGTTAGGAACTCAGATCATCTGTCTCTTTCAAGTGGAAACCAAAACCTTTCAGAATTGTTATTTTATTTGGTATAGAGATGACCCAGAGTAGCATTAAAATACTGACACTGATTAAAACAAATTAACAGGGTTTATTTATTTAAATGTATATGTGTGCTCCAGGTCAATGTTGGGCAGCATCAAAAAATAAAGAACAGCATTCTTATTCTTATTTGAACACTAACTACCCAGTGTTCAGGATGTATCAGTTAAGTCAGTTCAACTTGATTCATTTAGCAAGATTTTTTTTAAAAGAGAGAAATGACTTTTGGTGGCAATATCCACTAAAACATATACAGAAAAGGCAAACAAAAGTAAATGTCACTGAAAGCAGGCAGGGCTATTTATTCATTTAAAGAGATATTGCAAGCCTGTTTCATGCCAGACAAAATTCCAGGTACTGTAGATATGGCAGCAAATAAATTGGAAAGAAGATCCTTCCCTAGGAGCTTAACTACTGGTGTCAAAGACCTAAGGGACCACTGAGTAAATGTTAAGAGAGTGACGGCACTAGAAGATACATGAAGTGGGGAGAGAAGGAGAAAGTGACAGGATGTGAGTATAGGTACTTCTTAAGACAGGGCAGTTAGGGAAGTCCTGACATGTAACAGGATCCTACATGAAGTGAAGGCATGAGATGTTCAGGAG